GCGCCGAAGGCCGGTGCGCACGGTATCCGCTGCGCGGCCGCGCGGTGGTGACCGGTGCACCCGCACCAGTGTGCGCTCGGCGGCCGCCAGGCTGGGCCTGCGCCTGCGGTTCGGGCGACGCAGCGGGGCCTTGTGACGGGGCGGGGTCTAGGGCGGGGCCCGGGGCGGGGCTTAGGGCGAGCGGTGGGGCTGGAAAGCCGGGCTTTCTCCGTGCGGACCAGACCCGCTGTACCAGTCCGCGGCCACCTTGCCTGCTAGGCTTCGGGTCCCAGACCCGAGGCCCGCGCCCCGCGCTGTTTGCCGAGCAATAGGGTCGGACCGTGGGAGCTGAAAGCCTCTGGAGGCAGAGGCCTGGCCTGACCAAATTGGCTCTCCGCTCAGGGAATTAAATTTCTTCCTAAATCCAGGATTTGCGGAATTTGCCGAAGACTCTCCATCCCTTCTTGGGCTTAAAATGCAGTGTTTACTTTCCCTTTTTATCCAAGTTTATCCCAGATCAAGAGGCCTAGTCGTTTAATTGCCCCATTCTCTCTACCAACCCAAACTCTGCCAGGCTCCATACTAGAGACTCTTTATCCTCCCTTGTCTTCATCACATTGAGGCCTAGAGATACTGCCAGACTGGAGCCCACGTTACCTCCCCTTGACTCAGAGGTCTTCCTGAGGGAATGCTGACTGCCATAGCAGCACATCCTCTGCTGCAGCGCCTCTCCACCTGGGGCCTTGGGACCTCACTGTGCTCTCCCACCCCTGGCCCACTGACCTCTCCCAGACACCGAAATGACTGGAAAAGTCTCTTGTTTTGTGCCCATGGTGTGCTGGTTCAACGTATAGCAACTAGATCTAGTGAGGGGAAGCCCTGGCTTGTAGCTTTTGCTCATGCTCATGGTGTAAAGACCTTCACAATGGCTGGTTTCAAGCTGTCCGGGTTTCAGTCCGGGTTTCATAACCAGTTCATAGAAATTCCTGAAAGTTGAACAACACGGTGGTAGGGTGAAGTGTACCTGTAGCAGGTCCTCTGCAGTCGGAATTGGCATAATAAGTAACATGTGATGAGTTCTTCAAGAAAAGGGAAAGTGGAGCAGGCAAGAATGGAAACAAACACATACAATTTGAGGGACCCTCTTTAAGAAAAATAAAATTATAAATACAAAGTTAAGTACAAGGCTTTGAAAGGGGCCTGGGCAAGTCAGAGGTCCTTAAGAGTTTTTAGGTTTACATTAAATCTGCCACTAAAAGCAGGGCAAAGGAGGTCATGGGAGAGGGATGGCTGTGTGGCACTGTGAGGAATGCTGGACCAAGCACAGTGAAGGGCTAGTGCCAGGGCACTGAGGCAGGAGTGGCCTACAGCTTTAGAGGAAGAGCTGAGAGGCTGGAACCTGAGGATAAGGGTTTGCAAGGAGGCATGGGGCCAGAGAGGGGCCTGAAGCCTGGTCAGGCACAGATGGGCAGGTCCCCAAAATAATTTTGGCCTTGACTGTTACTGACACTGGGAGCTGCAGCAGCTACTGCTACCACTTTACAAGGCTCACCCTGCCTCCTCTGTGGAGTACTCATTATGGGGGTGGGTGAGAGTGGCAGAGGGAGATTAATTAAGAGGTTAGTGTAACCACCCAGCAAGAGATGCTGGAGGCTCAGACCAGGGTGGGGGCAACAGCTGGAGGTGCAGGCTGGCCAGGGTCCTCAGCCTCCTAGAGGAAGGAACAGCAAGGCTAGGACTGGGTTTTGGTGGGCTGAGGGGTGAATGGGATATGGAGAGCAGTAGTGCACATAACTCTTTGAGAGGCTAGAAGCAAACGAAGTTTGAGTGATGTGAGAGTGTGGATTCTAAAGACACAACCTGAGTGCGAGACCTGATGTTGTTATGGACTCTGTACCTCCATTTCCCCTTCTGTGGTGAAGATTAGTGACAGCAAGTTATGTAGCACAGGGCCTGTCACCTTCTGGGGTTATGCATGATGACAATCACGATGATGATGATAATGTGAGACAGCAAGATTGGGTGGGTGTGCAGGCTGGAGAGAAAGCTGCAGGAGTGGGTCCCAGTAGGGAAGTCGGAGGAAGGTGGTGCTGGGATGTGAGCTCTTGTAGGTCAATGTTGGGGAGCTGTTTACACTCAGTACTTCCACAATGGTGGAGGCCTGCGCACCTGGAACATGATTTGGGAAGGTGGCTGGGGAGACTTGAAAGCCAGCCTCAGTCACAGGCAGGCCTGGAGACCAAGTACTGTGCATGCTGAAGATGGGGATGACACAGGCTTGGAGCTCCTGGTGGAGGAGGGCAGTAACTCAGACCCCTTAGTGGCTTTAGTGAGGAAAGTGGCCATTTCACGAACTCAGGAAGAAACCAGAGGACACTCCTGTCCACCCTGCCAACCAGGGGCTGGTGTGGGCCGGATGGAGCCAGCAGACTGCGCTGGCAGGAAGATACTGAAAGGTCCAGCCCAGCCAACACCTCGTGGTCAACTGGGGGTTAAGCACCTGAAATGAAGTACTTAGGCCCCAGAACTGAGGGCCCAGCTCCTCCCACCCTCCTTGCTTCTTTCAGTTTCACTTTTGTTTTCCTGTCCGGCCCTTCTGCCTGCGGAGCAAGATTCACTGTGGAGCAGGCCATGAAGTCCTGACCGAGGGCATGGGCTGAGACTGTCCAGTGGCAAGGGTGGGAGTGTAAGTGCTGGATATGGGGCTGCCCACAATGGGGGGGTAACAAGGGAACGCTGTGGAGGGACCTGGGGAGGGGGCAGGATCAGGAGAACAGGCTGCTTCCCTACCCGCGTTTCCTGCCATCCCAGGGTTGCGATGGCGGAGGTGGAGGCAGAGGCCGAGAAGGGAGTGGCAGTGGAGGTCTGTGGACTGTCCCCCGACGTGCCTGATGAACTGCTCACTCTCTACTTCGAGAACCGCCGACACTCCGGAGGAGGACCTGTGTTAAGCTGGCAGAGACTTGGCTATGGGGGCATTCTCACCTTTCAAGAGCCCGCAGGTGAGGGGTCTGGGTGAAGGGACAGTCTGGGTGCCGTGATGTCCCAATGCTCTGACATTGCACCTTGCCCTTGCCTGCAGATGCCGAGAGGGTCTTGACCCAGGCAGATCATAAACTATATGGTGCTCGGCTGACGCTGCGGCCAGCCCCTCCACGTGCCCCCACACGCCTGCTGCTTCAAGGACTGCCCCCTGGTATTACGCCTCAGCTCCTGGAGCAGCACGTCCAAGCCCTGTTGTGCGCCTCTGGGCTCCCAGTGCAGCCTTGCTGTGCCTTGGCCAGCCCCCGGCCAGACCGAGCCCTGGTCCAGCTGCCCAAGCCTCTTTCTGAGGCAGGTGAGAGGCGGGACTGGGGCTGAGGTGCTGGTTAGGGGAGATGCTCTAAGCTGACTTGCACACTCCCCACAGATGTCTGTGCCCTGGAAAAGCAGGCCCAGAACCTGGGCTTAGAGGGAGCCTCAGTGTCCCTGTCCCGGGTGTCCCAGACTCGTGACGTACGTGTGGTAGAGGGCACTGCCTCTGTGGACTTGCTGCTGCTTGAGCTGTACCTAGAGAATGAGCGCCGCAGTGGCGGGGGGCCCCTGGAGGGCCTGCGCAGCCTGCCCAGGCACCTGGGCACCATCGTCTCCTTCCAGCAGTGGCAGGGTAAGTGGGAAAGGATGGACCCAGCTGGCCCCCCTCTCCTGCAGAAACCTGATGGGCTTTCTGTCCTCTCTCTTCCTCCAAGTGGCTGAAAGGGTTCTCCAGCGGGACCACTGGCTGCAGGACTCAGAGCTGAGCCTTGTTCCCCACTATGATGTACTGGAACCTGAGGAGCTTGCCAGTGACGCCAGTGGAGGGGACCATCGATCTGAGCTGGGATTTAGGGCTACCAAGGATGCTCTCCTGAAAGCTAGAGGGCTGGCAAGAGCACTGAATGATACAGAGACTGTAACAGTGGGCTCTGGGGAGGCACCAGAGCAATCAGAGGCCTCTCTGAGGACAGATTCCTTGGGATCTCTGGGACAGGCTGGGCCAGTCGACTCAGGGCCTTTAGGGTCTCTGGAGCAGAAAGGGCTGCTGACCCTGAGGCCTGTGGGGTTGCCGGGACAGGAAGGGCCCAAGAGCCTGGGGGCTATAGATTCTCCAGGCCCAGTGGAGATTTCACCCATGGGGTTGCTGGGACAGGAGGGCTTGATGGAAACTGTCGTGGACTCACCAGGGCAGAAGGGGCTGGTGGATCCAGTAGAGATTTCCATGGGGTCTCTGGAGAAGACAGGGCCAGTGGGCCCAGGGTGTGTGGGGCTGTCAGGGCAGGATAGCCAGGTGGAGATGGTACTGTCGATGGAGCCAGGGGCAATGCGCTTCCTGCAGCTCTATCATGAGGACCTCCTTGTGGGCCTGGGAGATGTTGCCCTCTTCCCCCTTGAAGGATCGGATGTGACTGGCTTTCGGGTGAGTGACCCCTCAGGATTCCTCACTTTTGGCTCCCTTCTCCCACTGGGGACTCTGAGTCCCTTTCCTATATCCTAAGCTTGCCAACTGTCCCTTCTCCCTGGCCCTGCAGCTCTGTGGAGCCCTGGCCTCCTGTCAGGTGGCCGAGGAGTTTCTGCAGAGCCTGCTGGGCAGCATTAGCTGCCATATGCTGAGCCTGAAGCACCCAGGCAGCACCAGGTTTCTGCTGGGCCCAGAAGGACAGCACCTTCTTCAGGAACTGGAGGCTCAGTTCCAGTGTGTCTTTGGGACAGAGCGTCTGGCCACAGCTATCCTGGACACAGACCCTGAAGAGGTAAAGATGGAGTCCTCCTGTCCCTCCCCTCTCTTACACCCTAGCCACCAGGGCCTCATCTACCCTTGCCCAGAGGTCAGTGGTTCTGACATCCTCTCCCTACAGGTGGACCCCACTGAGGACCTCCTGGTCCTCCCCAGCCGTGCCCACACCTTGTGGCCCCCAGACAGTACAGGCAGTGAACAGGAGAACATGAGCCTGGGTAGGACTCCCTGGGAACCCTCAGAACACCCTGTGGCCCTTGCTTGACCTCTCCCTCTACACTGCTCCATTTTCCCACCTACCTAGTTACCCTTCCCAGGTCCACCCTGTGCCCTCCAAACTCCTATCCTCCGTGCTACCTTGGCTGGGCCCAACCCCTAACCCAGTGACCTCTCCCTGCTCCCAGAGGAGGTCCGAGAGCTGCTGGCCACTCTGGAAGGCCTGAACGGGGAGGACTATCGGCCTCTGGAACTAGGGGAGAGGGAGCCTGAGGAGCAACCAGAGGAGGAGGCAACCCCAGGACATGAGGAGAAGGAGCCTGTGGCCCCCAGCACGGGGGTGGGTGGGCAGCTGGAAGAAGAGGCTGAGCTGCAGCTGGCCCTCCACCGGTCTCTGGAGCCTCAAGGCCAGGTTGCTGAGTGGAAGGAGGCTGCTGCACTTCAGCAAGCCCTGGCCCTCTCTCTGCTGGAGCAGCCCCTGTTGGAGGCAGAAGAGCCTCCAGGTGGGGAGACTGGTAGCAGGGCCCTGCTGGTGGTGCATGTGGCCTTTGAGCAGGATATGGATGAGTTAGAACGGGCACTAGAGGCTGGCTTAGAGGGATACCTTTGGGAGGAGACGGTGGGGCCCTGGGGCCACATGCTGTCTACAGAGCTGCGTGCTCGCCTGGAGCAGCGTCATGGTGTGAGTGTTGCCTTACGTGGTGACTGCACCATCCTCCGTGGCTTTGGGACCCAGCCCACCCGTGCAGCCCGCCACTTAGCAGCACTTCTGGCTGGTCCCTGGAATCAGAGTTTGGCTTTTCCCATGACAGCTACAAGCCCTACCTGTGAGTCTGCATCCTGGACTGAGGGAGGTTGGGTTGGAATGGCTGTCAGGGGCTAGTGCCCTAGGCATGGCCCTGATCCCCTTTCTTTCCACATGTTAGTGCCAGGGCAGAGACTGATGGAGCCCTTGAGCAGGCTGGAGCATCTGGCAGAGAGCACCAGGGAGTTCCAGGAGGTCGTGCAGGCCTTCTATGACACCCTGGACACTGCCAGCAACAGAATCCACATTGTCCGAGTAAGTCCATGCCCTGTCTATCTGACACATGGCCTCCTGTGCTCTTGGCACTATTAGCACCTTGCAGAGTCTATGGGCTATTACTCCCAACTACATCGAGGTCAAGCTGGAAGCTAATGGGATCCCCAGGTCCACATCCTGCCCAAAGGGCATTCACAAAGACTAGATGGGGGAGACAAGAGGACATAAAGTCTGAGGGCCCTGGGATCTGACAGGTCTGAGTGAAGGTCCTCATTCTGCCACTTATGGCCAGGTCACCAGGGACTGTGGGATCCTCTTCATGCCTCAGTTTCTTTATCTGGAGCATGATGTGATGATGCCATCTTGTGGTCATTGTGAAGATTACTTAATCCATAAATGTACCTTTTGCTGTTCTGGGGGCTCTTCTACCTTCAAAGAGGGCCACTTCAACAGGGAAAGGGGTAGGGCTCCCTACAGTTTGGCAGCTTCTTCCTGCATTCTTGCTTGCTAAATTTGGCAACCCTGAGCATGAGCACATTTCAGAAAAAGTTGGAAACAGTGGGGAGCCAGAGTGAAACTCTAGGAACTCCCAGCTTGTCTAGGCTGGTGAAGGAAGAAGAAGCTGAGAAGGAGGAGCAAGGGAGGCCATGGAAACATGAACCCATGGGGTCAGGGTAGGCTATGGGGGAGTGTCAGAGAGTAGTGGAGTCCAGAATCTGCATTACCTGAAGGAGGGACTGAGGAAGGAGCGTGAGTTGAAATGCTCTGCTGTAAGTTAGTTGAGGGTGAGGGAGTGGGGAGTAAATGGACGCGAGGGCAGGAACAACTCTGGGAGTAAGCTGGAGGGAAAGACTGACAGGAGACAGGTTTGCCAGCTGGGAAGACTCAGGGTGCTCATAGCTGAGGGGAAGGAATCCACAGAGAGGGTTGTCCGCAGACAGGTGAGAAGGAAGGGACAGTGGAGAACTGGGGTCCCTGTGCTGGTGAGACTGGGTGGGGTTCTCTCTACTCTTGATGCTCAGTGTTGTGAGTGGGAACAGCAGCATCAACCTCTCGTTGTCCCCACACCTGGCGCAGTCACCCTCCTACCCCTCTCTGTCACCACTACTACCACCACCATTACCATCACTACCACCATTATCATCACCACCACCACCATCAACATCATTACTACTGCCACCACCACCCCTCACTACCACCACCACCATCATCCCCATCACCACCACCAACTCCCCACCGTCATCAATTTTATCCTGACTAGTACCAACCACTACCACCCAGATGCACTGTGCTCATATCCTGCTGGATTTGTTCATTATATAAACTTGGTTCTTCTGGCAAGCACCTTTGTGACTTTAGATTGTACACTTGAATTTTTTTTCACTTGACAGCTTTGGAAACTTTTTTGCTTCCTGCATGGAAGAAGAGGAGAATGGGCCTCCCTTTCCTCTGTTTTGCCTCTTCCTTTCCCTTCCATCTCACAATTTAGTCAGTTATTTGATTTTTATTATGTGGCCAAGGTTTACAAACAAACATCATATTATATTCTGTAACTATCATGAAGCCTCCATGCTTGGGCCATAGGTTGATAGACATACTATGATAATGAAAAAATATTTATCAGTGAACCACAGAGAAGGAAGTGAAATCCTAGTTTTTTTTGGTTTTGAGTCAGAGTCTCACTCTGTCACCTAGGCTGGAGTGCAGAGGCACACTTACAGTCACCACAGCCTTGACCTGCTGGGCTCAGGTGATCCTTCCACCTCAGCCTTCCAAGTAGCTGGAACTATAGGCACATGCCACCACGCCTGGCTAATTTTTGATTTATTGTAGAGATGAGGTCTTGCCAAGTTGCCCAGGCTGGTCTCAAACCTGTGGGCTCAGGCAAGCCTCTCACCTCGGTCTCCCAAAGTGCTGGAATTATAGGCGTAAGCCACTGTGCCAGGCCAATTTTTTTTTTTTAATTTATAGTAGAGATGAGGTCTCGCCGTTTTACCCAGGTTGGTCTTGAACCCCCTGGGCTCAGGCAATCCTCTCACCTCAGCCTCCCAAAGTGCTAGGATTACAGGCTTGAGCTACTGCGTCCGGCCTGAAATCCTAGTTATTAAAACTTTGTTGCATGAGAGATAGTGTTCTAAGATTCAAGGCATAATGGCTCCTGTTCTTTTTTTCTTTCTTCATTTTTTTCTGGGTCATGCTTGACTGCTGGGTTACTCTTTGTGCTCACTTGTGACTCTTTTGCATAGATTCTTCTGTTTAGTGGGAGTATCTGCTTGAGTGGATGGTAAACATCTTTGACTTTTAAATTTATATTGCCTTTTACAATTAGAAGCATCTTGCAACTATAGTTTGATATTGGTATAAACTTTCTGTGTTCTTGCATGTCTTAGTATGTCCTTAATCTGTCCTCACTCTTCATTAATAGTTTGTCTGGATATGGTATTCAGGTTGAAAATGTTTCCCTCAGGTATTTGAAGACACTGCTCTTTTTCTTCCTTCTTAAAATTTTTTTTCTTGAAAAGTTTAAAAAAAACAATCTCTCCATGATTTCTTAGCATCTGGTATTCCCAGTGTAAGAATGTGAGCTGTTTTCCCATTTGTATATTACCCTTGTTTTGTGTGTGTGTGTGTGTGTGTGTGTGTGTGTATGTGTATACTTGTAGATTTTTCTTTCACTTTGAAGGTTGAGGTTTCTTGGCAGATAGGTGACAGAGGCATGTCTTTTCCCATTGTCCTTCTTGGCATTGTGTGGATCCTGTCCACCTGAAGATGCTCCTTCAGCACAGGGAAGCTGTCTTCCCTTGTGTGCGCAGGTGCTTAGGCCCCTGTAGAGCTCTTGTTATGAGGGCTCAGACCTCATGCTCCCTCCCCTCTTTCAGAATTCTCTTCTCTCTTCCTTTAGCTCTGCACTCTGGGTCAATTCCTGAACTCCATCTAGACCCACTAGCTGAGTGTTTAGCTTTAACCATTTCATTATTTGGCTCACTCACTGAATTTAGCTCAGCAGTCCCATTTTTAATGTAAAAAACTTTTATTTTCAAACTTTTTTTTTTTTGAGTTGGAGTCTCACTCTGTTGCCCAGACTGGAGTGCAGTGGCCGCTCCCGGCCACCGCA